GTCACAGATATAGCATAAAAAGAGCTTCAGTCGCTTGCTACAGTCTTTCCCGTTGCGTCCCCATTCTTTAGATATTCTTAAATAAAGTCGCATATCATGCCCATTCGCGGAACTTTCCGTGACGCATCGCATAATTTTGAAAACACTTAACTGCATGCTTTTCTACAGAGAGCATGTCTCAAATTTTAAGTCTTTTTACAAAATCCGAGAAAAAGACACAAACAGCACTAAATTATTTTCTTCTACGGAAAATGTAAGTCCGCTGATCGAGGATTAATCGGGGTTATATATAACTACGGGTGCCCAAAAGCAACCAAGCGGTAGTCGCTGAACACTGGTATTTCGATCTGTGTACTATTCCGGGCAAATGGGCTGGCCGCATGGGTGTTTTCATGATTTCCACTATATGTAACATGGATTCGAACAAATTTTCCCTTAGAAAGCACTCTACAGAAGCATTCCTACCTTAGGCATACAGCCTCTAGAGTCCTTTGCCATAATCAAATAAACTCAACCATAATCTTATGATGAAATTTATATGATAGTTGGTGACGTCGCGCTTATCCATTTTTGACATTAAATCACACTGTCTAGCGACATTTTTTTTCATCGACCGTTTGCAATAAATTTGGACTGTTTTGGAAGATTTTGCGGAAAGTACGTAAGCAAGCGTTGCCCGCTCAATTCAGATAGTCGGCTTATAATCCAAGTCTAGTGAAATTAAACTCAGCACTTCATATTAAATAAACAGTGATATAAATCATGTAGCATATACCTAGTGTTATATTACCTCTTATTTATTGCATCTAATAAATAGTTTTGTGACTTTCTGTTCTTGTACCTTTGATGATGGACATGTTATTAGAGAATAATAAATGTAACAGTGCAGACAGTATAAATATGTCTTCAACCAGTGGCACGATTGTGAAGAAACGAAAATATCGTAAACACGATAACGTTTATTCAGAGTTGGTTTTACGACACAGAAATGAATGGAGAGACCACTATCTATTTTGTGTATATAAGTTTTGGCAGTGGGTGTATTTTTTCCAAGTAAATTGAAGCGCATTGCATTATTGAAGCACATTACAGCATTCTTCAACTATCTGACACTGGCTGGAGGAGATAAACTCGCACAGATAGCATGTCCGAGCGTATCCCAAAGGTTTTTAATGGGGTTAAGGTCGTAGAAAATACGGTGGCCACTCGATACGAAAATGCCCTCTCTTTGTCTCTCTCCAGGTTCACATTAACTCTTTGCGGTCGGATTAAATTTGGAGATGGGTATCGTACTGGTCGGAATTAATTTCCGTCGATAGAGCAGGGATACATAACACGCAAGTTTACGATGGATAAACAAGATTTAGTAATTCTTTTGTGAACTTTAGATATATCTTTATTCAATACACTAATCTAGTGATATGTTTTTGTATAAATATTATGTTTTATAATTCTCCTTCGTGTGATATTTTTCAAAACACTCTCCAACATGCAGGCCAGGTTTCCGAGTGCATGTATCGCAAAAATAATTGGTTTGGTGCCTTCCACCCTTAATCTTTCTGTTTGAACATACACTACAATCTTTACTTTTTACATTTTCACAATGCCGCAATATATGCAGTTTTCCATTCTTTCTTCCTTATCGGAGGTCGATGGTCTTCTTGGTTTTGAATCTGCTCTGTCACAAAAATCACCTACTAGTTGTGCCACCAATTTTCGGACGAACATAAAATGTGGCATATGTGTCCTGTTCTCTCTTCTAGCTGAATTTTGGGGAATTATTTTGGAATATTTTAAGAAGAGAGAATATCTCATTACTGTTAACAATTTATAAAATATTCTTTGGAATTCTACAAGGCATCGTCGAACGTTGTCGATTCCATTACGTTCAAAAGACGACTGACTCGCCACTGCGTCTTGCATGGCGAGTGCTGGGTCACAACTTTTGTTTAGATTAGATTACGTTAACAATATAATAATCTTTAGAAGTGGTGATTACTCTTGGTTGACGGACACAGATCTCTGGACTACTGTTTGATTTGCTTACACACTCTGTTCGTTTACGCTTCAAAATAAACTATTTCGCTACCAGCATATCACGGACTCTAGACAATGCCGTAGCTAGGGTGGGGCAAGGGGGGATATCTGCCCCCGGGCGCAGGATCCAAGGGGCGCTAAACTGATGCTACGAAATTTTTTAATGAAATGTTTTCCATTCTTGGCATACAGAAAGGGGCGCAAATTCTTCATTTGTCCCCGGGCGCTGGAAACTCTAGCTACGCCTCTGACTCCAGAGACTAATAAAAATATTCTAAAGCATTCATTTATTTGCTGAAAAGATGTTTAGAACTTAAATAAAATATCACTCATGTAAATAACAAGTCATTCTCTTTTAATAAGCCTACTTAACTACAAAGAAATATATTTTTGGTATTTTCATAAAATTGTTTTTTGCCACTTCCCAGAAACTAAACTAACAATAATTATCAGTGGCCAAAACACATTAAGTAAATAAAATAAAATTAAAGCACATATAAAATACAAACTATATTCATTTGAAATCCAACATGTTAAGTTGCTGGGAAATAACTTGCTAGAAAAGTTAAAGAGTAAAACTTTGAAAATAAGCACAAAACTTAAAATTAAAAGGAAAAATATAAAAGAACTAAATTAAAGTCCAAACATTCATAAACTTTAGTCTTTGGATAGGCCTGACTTCTCTTCCACTCCTGGTTTTTACACATTTTACATCTTTTTGGCTATTTGCCCTGAATACCCTTCAATTCTAGCTTGTTCAAATCTTTCGTTTTTTAGATCTTCGAACCAACTGCATGAAGGTTCTAATAAAAAAAATTCTTTGTACGGGATGTAAAAGTTGTCCATTTGTAGTTTTCAACTGTACCAGTCTAATGACGTTGTCTCTTCCAGGTAAGAATTCAATAACAATGGCTAATGTCTCTGAATCAAAAGTCCTAGATATTCAGATCTAAATCGTTTTCGTGTATCCGTGATTAGATGTTGACATTTTACTCTCTTGTTGAAGGAAACTGATCGATTGCATCCAAATTAGGAACTCCTGACTTTCGAAAATCTTGTAAAAATGAGTTGGGAGATAAAGGAACAAGTTTCCGAATCCTTTTCTGAAACATAGGGTAAGTGGACGAGAATTAATAGCAAATTCCGCATCACAACAACACCGCTGTCATTTCTTCAAAAGACAGTAAAGATTTCTCCGGAACTCTCATCAAGCCCAAAACTCCCCAAAACCGCCCCACCTTGAAAAACCAATGAATTTTCCTAGTGGTGGTGTACTGAGAGACAACATTCCAATCAGTGAGTTTCAAACAATTTGATGCTCCAACAAAGTTGCTTTCGTTGCCACAATAAAATACAGAAGGTCGACTTCTGCGGGATCTACACCGACGGAAACTCTAAAGAAAAACCTCTGTAGACAGCCAGGAACTGAGCTCAAAATGGATGCAACCCTTACGCGATTTTCTGGTAATGCAGAAATCGGTACTGTTAAATTCCACTTCGCATATCTTAAACAAGCAAAAAATTTGGAGAAAAGAGATCTAATGACTTTTTTGGCATTTAAAATCCAATAATGTTCTCTTAGAATACTCAACAATATTTGAGAATCAGCATGAAAGTTCTTCTTGTCTGTCATAATTAACCGTTTGACAGCCTGATTTTCTCCCGGTAAAACAAATGGATGTTTAAAGTTCTCTGTAACCTTCCGAAATTTAATTTTTGTTCGCGGTCTAATCATTCCTTCTTTGTTCTTGTACGTTGCCAAAGATTCTAATTTTCTTTTGTTTAAGTGATCATAAAAATATTGTAATAAAATAAAAATAATTTGTATCAATAATATGACTTTCTTTTCTGCATTTCTGATTTCTTCGTAGGATAACTCTGCAATAATTCGCGAAGACTTTGCATTTTGACAAATATAGATAAATCTTTTTATCCAAGCAATCAACCGTATCACTTTGTTATAGCTTGAAAAATAATAATAGTACCAACTCGATCCCTAATGTCTGCATCTATTTTCTTTTCATCGGTTTTGCAGCTACAAGTAGTATATGAGTAACTTACAGAACAGATAGAAGAATGCCCATCAAATTTTGTTTTTCTCTTTTTCTTAGCTATAGAATGTTCATCAAAATTTTGTTCGGTGGTGGCCCAGTTAGATGAAGGTTCTAATAATCAAGTGGTCCCTCCCACCATTTACTTCATAACAGTTGTCTAGCGGAACATCCCCTAAAAGGCAAATCAGCTGGATCCTGGATTCCAGGAAAGTGTTCCTAAACAAGAGGATCCGTTAAACTATTTATTTCATTCACTCTGTTCTTCACAAATACTGTCCAAGATTCTTTACGCTGAAACCACCCTAAAACAGTAGAGTAAGTCCAACAATGCTGTTCAACATCTTTCCATTGAAGCCCTTCCACAACAGATGCACACAAACGAGCTCCCAACATAGCAGCCATCAGCTCCAATCGAGGGATAGTCATGGGTTTCACAAATGCCACTTTAGCTTTGGCCGCTAAGAGATGAACTTGGCCATTCTCCGATGTTTCCACACGAATGTAAATAGCTGCTGCGAAGGCTGAATGACTAGCATCACAAAACGTATGCAGAGAAATGTTTTGTTTACTTGGATCAATTGACAAACATCCTGATACGGTCACTTCCTCCAGCAAATGAAGTTCTGAAAACCAGATCATAAATTCTTCTTTTGCATTAGCGTTGACTTCAGAGTTCCAAGGTACGTTTTCTTTCCACATATTTTCCAATAACAATTTGGGTATTAGCAAAATACGACATAATAAACCAACAGGATCGAATACGTTATGAAAGACCGAAAGAATTATTCTTTTGGACAAAGTTTTAAATTTATAATAGTCCAGATTTATCATCAGAGTATCCTCTTTTCTGTCCCATAAAAGTCCTAATACAGAAGTAAATGGTTGAGGAACATTATCATTGGTGTACTGTCAACCTCTCAAATTGAATTTTCCTACACTCAATATGGCTTGAGACATCTCAACGAAGGGTAATATATCACATGTTTCATTTAAGCTCGTTACTAAATTATCAACGTGGAAACTCCAAAGAAGAATCTTAACATAATCTTGATTATATCTGGCATCACTTAAATATTTTCCAAAATAATAATACAAGACTGATCCCAAAAGAAAAGGTCTGCTTTTTACACCAAAGACCAATCTGTTGTGTTGCATTACCTTAATTTCTTTACAGTCGCTATTATTCCACCAGAACCTCAAATAGTTTCGTTCTTCCGGATGAACGCTCACTTGCAAAAATGCCTTTTCAATATCTATAATAACACAATTTCTAAATTCTCTAAATCTCAGAAGGAGACTTGGAATGAGTTCTAATAAATTGGGACCGGATTCTAGACACTGGTTCAAAGATGGAGATCCGATTTGCCTAGCAGACACATCGAAACACTGGACGTACTTTGGTAGTGCCATGTTCCTTGATTATAGGTCGGTGATGAAGAAATTGCAGTTGTGAAACATGCGCCATCCGTGACATCATCTATTATTCCCAATTCAGTCCATCGTTTAAAGACATCATCATATGTATCAAATAATTTTTCTGAATTCAGCCTTTTAGTTGAGGCTTCAAGTCTTCCTATCGCTAGATCTGTGTCGGTAAGGAGAGGCAAATGATCATTTTTCCACTTCGTACCGCCCATCATCCTTAATTCTTAGAGTATCTTGATACTTCGTAAGAAATTCCCTTCCTTTTCCTGATTTTACTTCGACTGGATCGGATATTCCTAAAAAAAAAAAAGCTCAGAAATATTGGCATCTTTTTCACAAACATGGTTACAATCGTCATTGCTGTATTTTCATTCCCTTTCGGCATTCAGTGGTGTTTTTCCGAACAGTGTCCAGCGCAGGTAAATTTCTATGGCTACAATACCATAGAAAGTACTCTTTTTCTCTCGGTGAAAAGTCGACCAGCCACATCTGCACCAATTAAAAGATCAATCGGCCCTGATGAATCTTCAGGGTCATAAACGCTTTTGCTTAATTTTGTAGACATTACGTAAATTTTCAGGTGTTCGTTTTGCTCCAAAAAAGGGAGTGTCTCAAAATCTGTTGTCTAGAAGGTATCAGGCATAAAGTAGAAATAAAGTCCTTCCTTAAATACAATTTTTTGCCATCCTGTGTCATATGAAGCTCGAACACAAAGTGCACAATTCTTTCCAATCAATTTTACTTTCAGGGTTTGCAAAAGTACTTGTGGTGTGTTACTAACACTAGAAAAACAGAACATTCTCCCTTGCTAGTTTCTTTTCCAATGCTGTTTAACATAAGTTTCTTAACATTTGTTTTATTTTTAAGCAATTCTAATCGCATAACTACGCTGTGATTTTTATGGCAAATTGCACATTTAATAGAACTCTTGCATTTATTTGAACAGTGACGCCTTTAAACAGCGAAAGCAGTGCCCTTTTAAAATTTTTGCCTTTCTGAAAATGGCACTTTTTAAGCCTTAAAACAAATGACTCATGTTTTCAGCTGCAAAACACGCACTTTTTAGCGGGAAAATCAGCACTCAACAAACTTGCTACCGTTGATAGTCGTTCGTGAATAGTTTTAATTCCACAGGTCACTTCGTTCTTCAAACCAAAACCAGCCATAGCTAAAGTATGCGTTCTTCGGATTCCACTTCCGATTTCAAAAATTTACTAAACTGTCCAGTCTACATTTTGAGTCTGGAACAAGGTCAGCATTTGTACTTCTTTGATAGGCTTTTAAAACATCCTCAGGTAAGCAAGATTCAATTAAAGGCTACATAAGTGCAGCACTTTTATCTGTACTGACTCCAAGGGTTTCCAAAGCCCCAATTTGTTGTTCCAAGTTATCATATAATGCACATAAGTTATTAGAGGAATTACTAGAATTTGCATTTCTCACATAAACCTTCCACTTGCAAGTCATATCGGCCAAAAAAAGCCTTCAAACATTCTACGGCCTAGTGATAATTAGCAGCTGTAGGAATCAAAACTTTCTATAACCGAACCCTCAACAGTCGTTTGTAATAAATATTGAAATTTATCACTATTAGAAATCGTAGTATCTTTGTCAATTTTTTCAAACTGACTCAAAAATTAATAAATAAATAAAAAATAACCACTTTCACCATCACATTTTTCGTATTTCAAGATTTGGAAGTTTAAACGTACGTTTGCATGCATTCTAATTAACAGATTCATTCAAAATTACACTTGAAGTACTTACGTTTTCTAGATTTTGAAGAACACTTTTCACTTTAGTTTCGATTCTGACGGCATTGTCACGATAATCTTTAATAGCATCAAATTCTGCTTCAATTTCGTTTTTTGTCAGTGTGCTAAGAAAACGTACGTTGAGCTTTCGAAAGAAAAACATTAAGCTCCAACTGTAATTCAGAAGAATCCATCTCGCTCTTCTTTATAATTTTCTTTTAAAACTTTGAAGGATTTTGTAAATGCAGCTCTATGAATCTTCCTTTCAAGTTTAACAGCTTCTTTACCTTCTATTTTATATGCTAGAATTCCAAACTATGCCTCTTATGTTCTGCCGAGGGTATGACCAAAATGTTCGTTTGTGCGTCAAAATAAACTATTATGCTACCAGTGTATAATGGACTCTAGAGACTAGTAAAAATATTCTAAACTATTCATTTATTTGTTGAAAAGATGTTTGGAACATAAATAAAATATCACTCATGTAAATAACAAGCCATTCTTTTTTAATAAGCCTACTTAACTACACAAACATATATTTTTGCTAATTCTATAAAATTGTTTTTTTTGGGGGGACCACTTCCCAGAAAATAAACTAACAATAATTATCAGTGGCCAAAACACATTAAGTAAATAAAATAAAATTAAAGCACATATAAAATACAAACTACATTCATTTGAAATACAACACACTCAGGAAAATTTAAAAAAAAAATAATCACCATCAAAGAAAAGTGAGCTAGATATCTGTGATTGACTGCCCTGCTTTCAATGCATCTGAAAGCATGCCACTGCACATTATCTGCCATCCACCTTTTTCCAGCCCTAAGAATATTATCAAAAATTATCCTGCGACAGCTATATTACATATCAGCATTTAAATGAACCTCTTCCAAACCTCTGAGAATGCTGGCATCTTCAACGACTGCCTAGTAAGCACATGTTCGGGCAATCAACGATGACTGGCAGTATCATACATTATTAGCCTATGCCATCTGTGTATGCAATGAATTTCAGCCATTAAAATTCAACACTTTCTAAAATTGCTAATTTGTACTAAGTGCTAAACTTTAGAAAGCCAATGTAGTTAGTTCACTAGTTAGTACAGACCAAAACAATATACAGTTAAATTACTTACTAATTCAGATTCTTCGCTAACACAGTGAAACAAGATAATACAGCACAACAATTACACTCTGCACACATGACATCTCGTTCATAAGCTCATTAGTGATCTTGCTCATAAGCTAACCTCCTTGCATCTGCTACCACATGCTGCAGCTATAGCATCATTTATCAGTGCTCTTGCTGCTTATGGCACTACACACTCTCACCTATTTGTCTCTCCTGATTTTTTATTCTGTACTCATCTCCTTTAAAGAGTTATACAAAAATATTCTTGGATCAACATGAAACAAGACACACTGTATAAGTAAATTCACAACTTGTGAAGTTTTTGTCTATATACAGCTAAATTTTAGTAAAAGCATACAATATACATTAATAAAACAGCAAAACTGCCAAACACTGACACACACAACAATATTGCAGAATATGAGGATCACAAAGCTCAGTCTGTAAAATATACAACATAGATAAAATAATGCATATACTTTTAAGGACAGTAACAGGTTGTAGGATTCAAAAGTTCCCAGACTGAGTCTATAACGTAAAAATTTTTTGCAGTAGTGGGACTACGAGAACGTTTTTGTTACTATGTTCACCTCCTTTTCTAAAAGTGGTTTGTCCCAAATCACGAGGTCGAAAGCTCACGGCGACAGCTTTTTTGTAGGCAGGTGCATTTAGTGCCTGGTGATAGAAAGAAATGGCGTCAGTTGAGCAGAGAATCAATACCAAATTTAGTGTTCACTTGGGAAAGAGTGCTACAGAGACATTCGGAATGTTGAAGCAAGTGTACGGAAGTGAAACATTATCGAGAACGCAAACTTTTGAGTGGCATCATAGTCTCAGAGAAGGCAGGGAAAACGCCGAAGATGACGCATGCTGCGGCCGTCCCGTGACTTCGTGCACTGATGAAAACATCAGAAGGTATCTGCAGTGGTACATGCGAACACGCGGCAAATAATTTGTCAAATAGCACAATCAGTTGGGATATCAGAGGCCACATGTCAGTGGATACTGACTAAGGATCTTAACATGCACAGGGTGTGTGAACGCATCGTTCCACACATGTTAAAACGTAAACCAAAAGGGAAATCAAACAGAAATGGCGGGAGACTTAAACTGGCAGAATTGTTTCTGGAAATGAGAAATGGCATTTTTTGTATGACCCGCAAACCAAGAGAGCATCGGCAACGTGGAAAACAGCACAATCTTCACAGAAGCAGAAATTCCGCCAAGATCACTCTAAAGGAAAGGTCATGCTAGAAGTATTCTTTGATACCCAGGGCAATGTGCATTTGGAATTTATCCCTGAAGGACGCACTCTGAAAAAGAAGTCTATGTTGAAATCCTGCAGCATTTGCATGAGTCTATCTGGAAGAAGAGACCATAATGTGCATTTGGAATTTATCCCTGAAGGACACACTCTGAAAATGAAGTCTATGTTGAAATCCTGCAGCATTTGTATGAGTCTATCTGGAAGAAGAGACAAAAAACGTGGGCTGAGCAGGCATGTTTGCTGTTGCATGACAATGCTCCTGCTCACCGATCGCTACTCGTCAATGACTTTCTTACAAAAACAACTGTTTTGCCTCATCTTCCTTATTCACCAGATCTCGCACCGTGCAATTTCTTCCTATTTCCTGAACTGACAAGATGCTTGCAAGGTTGTAGATTTCAATCTTCAGATGTGCATCGTAGGCTGAATTTAAGGACATGGCTAAAAACGGATTTCAGACATGCTTCGATGAACTTTACAGGCATTGGCAAAAGTGTGTTGTGGCACAAGGGTGTTATTTCAAAGGAGGATGTGTTTCTGCAATTTAATTCAGAATATGTTTTATATTATAGACTCAGCTCGGGAACTTTTGAATCTTAACTCTTATAATGCTGTTGAATAATAACTGTAAGCCATACAATGAATTACCCATGACCACACTCATTCATACTTACAGCAAGAAATGTAAGCTGATTTATAATATAAAAGTAATTTCGATTATGTAAGAAATTTATTACATGAACCTTTTACTTATTTATGATATTTAAACCTAAACACAGTGGAAACTACCAATATTTTGAGATTTAATGAAACATACTATTCTTGTACTTTATATTTTCAGATATTTGGCCCATGTTTTCTATATGTCTAAAACACGCTTACATATGAAAAAAAGTTTAGAGCTTGTGCTCTTTTTGTAATTTAACTTCAAAAATGTAGAGATCATGAGAAATCATAGAAAGAAATGTAACATGTTAATTCTGTTTATAATTCAAAAATTCAGTGCAGGTTAACACTGACTGTCATTTGACCCAAATTCAGGTGACACCAAAAGCAATGAAGAAGCCACAATCACCCATGTCAGGCTACCTGTTATACAGCCTGATTACAAAAGATTATTTTAATATCTGCTTGTAAACATATTCAACACACCAAAAAATTTTAAAATTTAAGTCTTATAGCCTGCCGAGTTTGTTTCTAAATACCTAATAATGTTTTCGTAATTAGTCAACTAAACCAGCACCCTTATGTTGGTGATAGGGCCAGAACTTTTGATGTGGGTTAATACTGCAATGTGTTAAAAGGAAGTTGTTGAATCTGAGTTCATATAATTCTACTCAGATGAGTCTTAAGGTTAAACAGTGACAATTATATCCCGTACCATCTATAAGAGTAAAGATATACAAAAATATTCAAAAACGTATATTTATTTACATGCACGATATTCATTAATAATAAAGTAATGATCAAAAAAACACTTTTTGGGAAGACAAAACATAGACTTGTGTCTGATAGATAAATCTGAAAAATAAATTATACTAAATGTTCATATTAAAATTAACCAAATATAACAGTAAAAAATGCACAAATTTCCTAAAAATAGAAAACTTTATTTTCTTTTTTTTTTTTTTTTTTAACTAATGAAATCTGATCACAGGCAATTCTGCAGAGAATTTTAAATAAAAATGGTTACTTAAAGTGACTCTCCATATACAAATAAAAAATAACAATGAATTACATAGTTCTTGAAACAAATGACTTCTCAATAAAATACAGACAGCAATTTGAAAGAAAAGGAACCATATAATGCACCTCAAAATAATACACAAGGAAAGATGATATATACTACACAATATTCAGATGGGAAAATTTTCTAATGTAATACAAAATACATACAAAAAAAATCTTTTAAATGGCACTTCATCTTATGCATATACAAAAAATTATAATTCTTTGGTTGAACTTTCAGATGTTGGAACACTATCTTCTTTCTCAGAGCTTTTGACACTATGAGTTGAAGAACTATCCTGACTCAGTGTGTCACTTTCTCTTTCATCTATTCTAGTTGTCTCATTACATGGACAAGCAAAAACTATGACAGGTCTGCTAGGTCTTTTTTCTTGAGGACTTGTAGTTTGCTGTGATGAATCTAAATACAAATTAAACATCAAAAGATTACAACAAGAAACAATATACTGAGAATATACCACATTTTCTTCCATATTTTCTCCCTAGTTCTTAGTGAAAGATTTTTGAAAATTTTAAAATATATTCACATTTTACCCTTCCTCAATGCGTTTAGAGAACTCCCCTAATTTTTAAAATAGATTTCTCGATGTAGTGATTATTTTCTTATTACAAACAAAGATAAACCCTAGCAAGCTATCCATGAAAGACACAATAAACCTGTCCCTTCTAATTGTTGAAATTTATGCCAGCCTAATAATATAAGAACTGACCAATTACAGCAAAGCAAACATGAACTGACATTAAGTCTACGATTTCACTCAGTCAGTTGCACATTCTCCTTCTCTATGTATGTATGAATGATTTCAGGTCTAAGGACTAGCAGAGACAACAATAAGAACAAGCAAGTTTCAAGTTAAGTAAAGTAGACATGATGCTATCTTAATACACACTAAATGTATTCTTACTGAAGTGTAGTTTACTTTGGAGGAAATAATATTATGATAGTTACCTATATTTTATCATGACTACTTTCCATTTATTATAGTCCTTCTGTAACTGCATCCTTCAAAAATTAAATCATTCACATAATTTTGTCCTCTCAATTTTTGGACAATAAAATCAGTAAAAAAAAAAGGAGGGGAAAAATAGTATATCTGAGCAAAAATTCATAAAATTTTCTAATGCTAACAACTTTTCTCAAATAGTAAATTATCAGTTAATATAAGACTTACTTGATTTGAAGACAAACAGCAATTAAAAAATGAAAAGAGTTTGCTTTAGAAGATTAATAAAATCTATCATTTCGACAGCAGCCTCCTAAAAGCATAAACCAAAATGGCTAAACTGGTGCACAGGTGACTCATTTTAATAGTAAATTATTAGTAATTATAAGACTTACCTGACCTGAAGACAAACAGCAATGTTTTAGAAACATAACAAAACCTAACATTTCAACAGTAGCCTCCTAGAAGTTAAACTGGCAACCTATGGGCCCTGTCTCACCCCTGAACCAATAATACATGGCACTTGAATACATTTTAGTTTTGTATTTGTTGTAAATACAGAGCTTATAGTTTTAAAGATATACAGCTATGGACTGAATTTATGTGCACGACTACTAAACAAAGTAAGAGAAATTGAATGAAATAGGCTGGGTCTGTCTTTTTCTATGCATGCCAGGCCACGTGACCATCATTCTAATCATCTAAATCCTGCTCTATTATTTTTAATGAAAATCGTTAGTTATTTTATCAAGACTTCAGATGTTAATTTCTTCATATTATCACTCTTTCCTCTCTTCATTCTCCAAAAGATGGTTCCAGAGTTCTATCTCACTACCAAAGTTTTTCAAATCATAAAAATCACTCTGCTTTTTTTTTTTTTTTCCTACATTCTTCAAATGATATCTGTTAACATAAATACAGTGTACAATAATCGCAAAGTAAATAAAGATAAATTACCGCTGGGAAATCCTTCCTTAAAAAATATCAGAGAACTTTTGTTAAATTCATCAATTGTAGATGTTGCAGGATTTGAATGAGGTTGTTGCTTTTCTAAAGTTGCAACTCTGTGTCAATGTTTTGAGCTGCAATTTTGAACAACAAAGTACTACGGATGGATTTTATTTCTAAAATCAGAACTGTCACAGCCTTACAGACAGCCCTCAGAAATTTTGTGAAAATTTTAATTAAATTAAATAAATAATTTATTTATTTACAAATATATGACTTTTACTTATTAGCCATTAGCTGACTTGCTTCCCAGTACTTCTGCATAAGCAAATTAAAACTATAAAAATGTTCTTTGTAACCGCTTGTACTTAGAATGCATAGAAGAAATTGCTAATTTCACCTCTTTAAAAATATGAGTATTGAAAATAAATATTAAATGGTAGAAGGTCAAGACCAGCACCAAAGCCAATGTGCTAGAATATTTAGAATTTAGTGAAGCACCAAGTAACAAAATTTAGGGCAGGCACTCAGGTATGTATAGTGCACAGATACATATATGACAAATCTTTTAATTCAGTGTGTTTTAATTTTTTTTTCTTTCTTTAATCGCTTTGATGAATGTGTCTAGTGAAAAGATAAGAAAATAAAAGGGGAAGAATAAATTTTCTTTTCACTGTTCTTCCAAAAATTCTGTAATAAGTAATTCATTACAAAATTCTTATAAAGCAAATCCATTACATGTTAAAAACCATGAAGGCATTTCATTTTGTCATAATTTTCTGGAAACTGTAGATCTATAAATATTGTCTTCAAAATAATAATCTATAAATCTTGTCTTTAGACCTTCCCGAGGTGCAAAATCTAAAATCCAAAAGAAAAATTACTCCTACCAACTCTGTAAGAGCAAAATGCCATAAGATTTTTGAACAAAAATTCAGAAAAGAGAAGGGTAAACTGAATTTTCAAGAGAAAATAGATACACGCATATATATATATTCTGAAACAATTACATGGGGAAAAAACTCTTAATGTGAAAAACATAAATATAGAAATACAAATGAAATTAATTTATACATAATTAGAGAAGCATTTTTGTTTTTTCTAACAACTGTTTCAGAAAATGTGCTTTGTAACAGTTAACTTGTTTACTTTTCAGAATCAAAATATTTCTAAGTCACCAAATGGAAAGTAATGTCACTTTAAAATACAGCAAGAGAAAATAAAAATGTTTTAATATTATTTCTTAAATATAATTTTAATTTATTATCATTATTTTTATACTTATCAGTGTTGTGTTTGTAAAAAAAAAATTGTCAAATTTCGCAAATGTTCGAGGTTGTACACAAACTGATTTTGAAATCATCAAAATATTGATAAGTCACCAAATTTAGCACTACATAATAAAAGACCTCATTTCTCCAAAAGGGTTTTTGATGCACTATTTTATTATATCAAACTTCATTCACCCCCCCCAAATCAAAATGTTTATGTTTCAGTTGAAGCAGGGCTTCGTATTTAAAACTTGAGTATCCACCATTTATGTTAATATGTAGGAAAGTATTCAAACATTAACCCATTAAAAACATATCTGTTAATGTACCACCAAAAAAATATTCCTCCAAAATGTTAATTCACATCCAAAATGGCAGTCCTAAAAAAAAAGACAGAAATGTCAGATGAGTAAAATTAAAGACCTTTTGCCAATTTTGGCCAAAGTTAAGGACTAAAATAATTTCCAAAAAAATCTGAGGACCTTTTAAGTGCTTTTAAGGACCATACGAACCCTGTAAAGCATCATAAAAAATAAAGCAGTTCAAAAATGTTGCATCATGGTACAAAACAAAGCACTTACAAATCATCACATGGCAATAATATCGCAGACATTTTTTAGGTTTTAAAAGCTGCAAATGCAAATTTGCATAATAATTTGTGGGCACAAGTAGGAATGAGGAATATTTTTACCTCTAGCTTTCATATATTTTTATTAATATATTTCTTTTTCGAAAAAAAAGCAAGAAAGAAGAAGCATTCAGAAGCTGAGTAGAAAATTGATGCTACATATAGCAATTAGTAGTTTTAAATTTGTGTACTAAACTATGAAAATACATTAATTAAAGAATTTTAATTCAGGCAACCTCATATAGTCACTTATCCTCCCTTTCCTAATAATTTTTAGACTACATTCAAGAAAAACTACTAATACTCCTTTATAAAACAGATGAATTATGTAATGACTTTCATTAGTAAAGTGCATAAATTTAAAATTATATGAACTGCTATATGTGGACCAAATTTTCTGCTCATTTTTAGTTTTTGAATGATAAATTTCCTTCTTATTTAGGAAAAATTTATTAGTTGATTTAAAAAAATGAAATGTAAAGGTAAAAATATTCTTCATTCCTTCTTGTGTTCACAAATCATTAAGCGAAGATTTACAACCTTTAAAGTCTGCAATGTTATCATCAATGCCATGAATTGATAGTGCTTTATTTTTGCGAGAATATTTTTACAACGTTTTAGAACTGCTTTATTATCAACAATGATGTTTTCTCTTTTCTTTGATGATGTTATGTACAATGACGTTTTCACCTAGCATTGCTTTCTCTGTAACCCTTGGCTGAGGTAGCATTGCGCTCATAGTGGCCTTAAACCCCACAATATCAACAGAGTTGTCTGGAATGTTGTCACAGCCAATCATCACGGCTGCCAACCAGCTGCCATCGCATAGTGTTCAGCGATGACCATCAGGTCCACGTGTGGAGGCGCAAGGGGTCCAATCAGCCTTGTTTCACACAGGCACACATCCATTATCCCAGGTTTGATGATGTGGGGTGTTATTGCTTATGACAGCAGGCCGATCCTAGTCAGCCTGCATAACTTTAACAGCTCAAGGATATATTGATGACAGCCAGCAGCTGTTTACAATTACCCTCCATGACATGCTAACTTGGAGCCATTTTCTAATACGATAAAGTTAGACCCCATATTGCTCGTATATCTCCGGTTTGTTTTCAAGATGTTGATACTTTTCCTTGGCCAACAAGGTCACCAGACCTTTCACCGATCAAACATGTAAGGATACACTACCAGATTTGAGTAGCCAAAATGTCACAGATCTGAAGCAACAATTGAGGAATACCTGGCAGAATGTATTGCAGGATAAGAATAAGAATCTATATCACTGCTTACCTCAATGTTTTCAAGCATGCATCACCACTAAAGAGGTTTCAACAATTACTGGTTTGAACATTCAATGTGCAACTGTTAGCCATCGATGAGTTCTAAAGCCATAAAGTTTTAATCATTCCATTACCTGTATCGAGTATTTTTAATAATAAACTTCCTCTTTTTTTTTTTACCCTAAAAGAGTGTGTTCTTAAAAAAAAAAAAAAAAAAAAAAAAAAAAAAAAAAAAAAAAAAAAAAAAAAAAAAAAAAAAAAAAACTTATTCCCATATGTCCCAGATTGACTGAGATATTTAATCTTAAAATTTCCTATTTTTGACATCA